CTCAGCCCACCAGGGGGCGGGGCTGGCTGGCATGTGGTGCTGGGGGATTGAACCGCGGTCCCTGTGCTTTGCTAAGTTTGTTCTAAGTAGGTGCTCTAGACCACTGAGCCATCTCACCAGCCCCTACATTTCTTTTTCGGCAGAACCAGGGATTGAACTCAGACCCCTGTGCTTACCAGGGAAGCGCTTATTCTACTGAGCCATCTGCCTGGCCCTTAAATGACATTTCTAAGGCAGTGAAGCCTCTCCCCACAAAAATGTGAAACTAGGATGGTAGGTGAAGCAAGGAGGGTTATAAATGGAAGAGCTAAAAATGATTATGTACATTGTATACATTTATGAATCTGCCAAAATGAAACCCATTAATCTTAAAACAAATACACACTAATAAAAAATTAAAAACAGCTGGCTACAGTGGCACACACCTGGAATCCAAGCATGCAGGAGGCTGAGGCAGAAGGACCAGTGAGTTTTGAGACTAGCCTGTTAAACAGTGAGTTCAAGGCCAGCCTGAACTAGTGAGACCTTGTCTTAAAAACCACTCAAATAGCTAACTAGACCATCACTTCACAGAAGGAAGTTAGGCCCTGAAGAGGATATTTTGCTTCATTGTTAATTGAGTTTTTTGACTAAATCCAATTGTCTAGTTTTATCCTACTGATAAAAATTTGCTATCTCCTTCCTAACCTGTGCCTATCTTCTCCTAATATCCATCCTACCATAACTGTGACGCAGTGTTTACCTTTTGTATGCTTTCATCTTTTTCTCCAAGTCTCATTTTCCTGGAAGTGGAAATGCTCTTTTCATTAATTACTTGCCTTTTCTAGTCTCTCATTCTAAGAATAGCCTTATACGTATCTAGTTTTTAAAACTGTGAATAGTCAAGTACATTAAATTCTCAATCAACCTGTAAACAAGTTCCATTCTTGGAGATTACTGGTAAGTCAGGCTCATTTGTAAGTTTGTAAGGCAGGTATGTGAAAACCACATACCTTTGACACAAGTCTCTTCCACATCCCCACTGCTTTTCTTCTTGCACTCAGAAATCTTGGGTGCTCTGAGCACTGCACCACTATCCACTATCATACTGTACAGTATGCAACAGAGCAGCACAACTGTAAGCTTATACAGCAGCACACTGTGACAATGTCTAGTAGATATATGGGCTACTTTTGTGATTTATTTGCATCTACAAATGTTTGTAATGCACAGTCCACTTGTATTTATAAAAATTCACAACTCTAATGTTCAAAAACTGGGGATTTACTGTACATACAGATTAAGAATTTAAAGACAACTCTTTGCAGGCCATGGTGGTACCACCTGTAATCCCAGCACTCAGAGGCTGAGGAAGGAGGATCACTGTTCAAGACCAGCCTGGGCTACAAAGTGAGCTCAAAGCCAGCCTAAACTGCACAGCAAGACCCTGTCTCAAAAAGACAATCAATCAATCAATCAATCAATCCTCTTTCACTATTCATTTTAAATCTAATATAATTGAGCATGTATTATTTGAAGGCGCTTATTAAGAAACAGACTCCAAACCAAATCTTATTACTTGAGAAATCAATTCCACTCATGCTTAAGTATTTTAGCTATAATACAAACATGTTCCAGATTAACCATGAAATTAAAATGTAAAAAGGTGTCATCTTAACAAATCAAAGCAGAGAGGTAGGTTTTGAAGCTTGAGGTCTGGTGAACAATTCTTTCCTATGCAATCAATTTAGGTATTCATAACCACACAATTGGAACACCAAAATGTTGTCAGTGTATGATTCAATTAGATGGAGAAAAAAAGAAAATCTCACCCCCAATGGTACTCTCTTGAAATTCATGAAACTGGCCTTTCACAAAACGAAGCACTAGGCTTGATTTGCCAACAGCAGACTCTCCCAGAAGTACTAGTTTGAACTGGCAAATTTTATTTCCAGTATTTGGCCCGTTAGGTCTTGTTGCTCCTCGATTAGCCATGTTCAAATTTGAAAGAAGTCCCTAATTTCAGACTCCTAAATGAACTGCCAGGATGGAAGGTGTCGATTTTTTATCTTTCTGGAAGTAAAGAAATCTGTAACAAAACAAAGATACAAATCACTAAATCAAAACTAATCTAGTATAAATCAGTTTTGTCCATGGCATATTACTATATGATTATTATAATTCCAAGTGAATATTCAACTTTATTTTACTACCTTTTCAAGAAAATAACCTAAAAGCTTAACATTCACCCCTAAAATTACTTTGTAATTTTCATGGCTTTTTTAAAAAAAAGTGCTCATTTTCATTACAGATTTTGCTTTGTGCCAGGCGATATTTTAAGTATTTAACACAGCCACCCAGCAATATAGAGTTAGGTACTATTTACATTCCTCGCAAGTGAGGAAACAAGAAACATAGAAAGATTAAGTACCTTAACTAAAGTCATACAGTAACTGTGACAAAGGTGACATAGCTAACTGTCAAGCCCAGGCAACCTAAAAAGTGACTCAAGAGCTCAGGTTCTAAAGTCAGATTGCTTAGGTTGAAATTATTCTGAGGAAAATAAATAAATGAAAAGCTTCTAGAACAGCACCTAGTTTAGGGTTTTTTTTTTTTTTTTTAGTATTTGAAGATTTCTGATTAAATGAGAAGTTTTTTATTTAATTACTGGAAATTTCAGAGAAAAAACAAGAAGCTCCCAAGTTTATGTGCTTAATGGACAAGAGACTTACATCTGCTTCCTTATTTGCTCATACATAATGAGCACTTGTCTCAAAAAAGAAATTAAAATCTAACAGTTGTACTTTATTTAGTGAGACTAGTAGTGATTTACAATAATGGTGAATTTTTTATTTTGAGGTTAACAATATATGCCATTCTTTTCTATTTAACAATACATTTGAAGGAAACTAGCTTGATTTTCAAGGTCTCATGAACTGAAATGTAAAGCGTCCCTTTTCAGTTCATTCACAATCTTAATGATTTATCCCCACTCTGATCAGAACCTAATCATATGGTTACTAACAAGATATATTAAGCTGCCCCACCACTCAGGAGGCTGAGGCTGGACAACTGCATGCCTGAGGTTTAATTCTGCAACTCAGTGACACTCTGTCTCAAAGTTATGATTTCAAAAAAAGGGCTGTGAATGTAGCTCTGTGCTAGAGCACTTGCCTACCTGGGCAAGGCCATTCAATCCTATGCAGAGTGTAGAGTTCGTAGTGAGTGGGAGCCCAGTCTGAACTGCAAAGTGAGACCCTATCTCAAAAACCAAAGACAAAAGAAAAAGAAATTTACCTTCTCTATAAAATTTAAGTCCATACAAAAAGCATTCTTGATAATGATGAATTTGTTAATAAACATATCTAAAGGCCGGCCAAATAGCTCACCGGATTAAAGCGCAGGGGGCTGGGGTTTGATCTCTGGGGCTCCCAGCATGCTGAGGAGGCAATAGAGACTGAGCTTGGTGGCACGTGCCTGTAATCCCAGATGTTGGGAGGCTGTAAATAGATGGAACTCTACGAGTCTGATCTACTAGTGAGACCCTGAGCACCCTGTAGATGCTTCCCTAAAACAAACACACACACATCCAGATCTTAGATTCCAAAACAATAGAAATTGTTTTTTATCTTATCTCATGCTCCTTATCTTTAAGGAATCCTTATCTTCTATCAATACAAAATGAAATGATAGGAACCGCTCCAACCAGTGGGGTATAATAAAGCTATCCTACTTTACTCCTCAAAAATATAACTCATTTGGGTATAAATTTCAACTTATTCAAATTCTTTAATACCCAAGTCTCTTACTTCCATGATAGCTCATTTGCATACCTGCTGAGAGAAATGGGAAAATGTATGTAAACAATCTCTACTGTACAGTGCTTACTGTACGCCAATGACTGAAATTGGCAATTAAAGCAGCCCTTTGATGAAATAAAGCTCACGGAACAATAAATTGTCATTTTGGCTAAAAACATCGATAATTTAAATACTTCCTGAATGGCTCTTACCTACATACCAATAAATCATCAATAACATGTTCACTGAGTGCGGTGGCCCAAGGCTGTTATCCCAGCACTCAGGGAGGCTGAGACAGGAGATTCTCCAAGAGCTCGGCGCCAGCCAGGGCTGCACAGTGAGTTGAAGCCTAGCTAGTCTGAACCGTATACCCAGAGCCTGTAAAAACAAAACAAAAAAAACCCAAAACAAAACAAAACAAAAAAAACCCTCAAAAAGCAAATAAGAAAATGCTGTGAATTTCTATGGTACTTCCAAAATCTTAGGAAAAGACTGTCACAGAAAAACTTGCAAACAAGATTCTAATTTAGGTCTTTCAAGATTTAAAGCTACTGAATCATGTTTACTCTTCAATATCTCAAATTAAACTTACTATATCACTACTTAATGAAACTTTTGTCTTGCTTTTCAAAATAACGTGCATTTGTAAGGATTTGGAAAATGAATCTATCGTTTAAAAAAAGAATATCCTTTCATCAAAAAATTACTGTTAGGCACTTCTCTACCTACTTTGTTTACCACAATTCTACAAGTTCAAATTACCTGTTTTATCTTAATAAACTCTGCTTAGTCCTGAGTGAACCCAAAGGTTTACTTATAGGTGTCTTATGTGAAAGGCAACTGATTTAACACTACGATTTCACTCCAGCAGAAAAAAACCAAATATAAAAACGAGGATGTCCGTAGGTGAAAAAGCCCCAATCTGTAATTTCTCTAAAGCTGCGGTTCAATGCCTCCCCTCCTCTAGACAGCCTATTTTGACGACTTTCCTACCACTTCCACCACCGGGCTGCGGAAGTCCACGGGGCGGAGCTCCTCACGTTCACACCTGCCGTCACCGAGGCTCCGAACCGGAGCCACCGGAGCAGCACGGCCCAGCCCGCACCTCCAGGGCCCGCGCGTCCTCTCGGCCCCTCGGCCGTCCCCCTCCCCCCGGAGCCTGGCCTCGCTCTGCTCGAGACCCCGGGACTGTCAGGGCCAGGCCGGGGCAAGGCAGCACGGCGGCCTCCAGCCCTCTTTCCACGGCGCCATCTTGAGAAGGGAAACGAGTGACACCCGTCGCTCCCCGAGCCCGTCCCCAGATCCTGGCCTCCACAGCTCCTAGGGAGCCCGAGTCACGGGCCCGGCGCGACCAGACGCCAGGATCGATAGCGCGAGGGGCGAGGAGCTGAGGCTCGGGGCAGGCGGGGCCGCGGACAAGCCGGGACCGCGGGTAATCTGGGGTCTGGGCCCGCGCCACGCAGGGGTGAGGCGGCTCGGTTACCTGAGCCCGCACCACGCGGGGCCGCGGCTTTCCGTCAGCAAGGCCCAGGCGTGGCCGAGGAATGGAGGAGCCCGCGTCGCCTCCTCGCGCCGCTCCCTTCACACTGGACAGTGCGGGCCGGAGCCGTGGGACCGCCCCTGTCAGGCTCCGTCTCCGCCTCTCTCCGCTCCGCCTTCCTCCTTCCTTTTTCCTCCTCCTCCTCCAACGCCGCCGGCGCTCGAGTTCCAATCCTTCCTCCTCCGCCCTCCTCAGCCTCCTCCCCTCAGGGCGGCCGCCGGCCCCTTCAAGAACCAAAACACAAACACTCCAGCCCCGGCGCCGCAGCAACTTCCGCCGCCCGGCGCCGACCCGCCGCCACGTCGCCGCACGCAGCAAGTTACGTCCTTTCGTCACTTCCGGTCGGTGCGTGCTCGCCCGCCCGCCGGCTCCCTCCGCTCCACTGCCCAAGCTCGAAACCTTCCGGTCTCGAACCCAGGGGCGAGGCTGGGAGCGGCGGCGGTCACGTGACAGCTGCTAGCCGCTCGAGTGGCGCTCCGGGGTCCAGCGTTCCCCACCTGCTGTGCGCTCAGCCTCGCTCTCGCGGGAGCCATAGGTTTCTGGGCTGGCCTTGTGGGATTCTCCGCTGCGGCTGGCCGGGGAAACTCCCTCAGGGCGGATTCGGGGAGCTGCAGCGCGTGGGGCCGGTCCCTGGCGGGGCCGTGAGTTTGCCCGTGGAGTTCGCTCGCAGACCTTGCCTTTCGCCATGTTTCACAAACCCCCAGGTCCTGCAGCCTAGCAAAGGGGCTTGTATGATAAGTCTTTATACGCAGATCGAGGTCTTTTCTTCCTGGGTTGGATGGATCGACGAAGAGCATCCCGGATCCAGGAAGCCAGACAGAGGCCGAACGGTTGCCCCGAGTTGGAGGCCATCCTGGGCTCCGAAGGAGTTCCAGCCCGCCTGTATTTCACAGCGAGACCCTGTGTCAAAAACACAATAAGAATTACCCCATTATGCTTGTACTGTGAGTCTTACATTCTGAAATCAACTTGTCGCTTGTTTCCCTACTTTACGGTGCTAACCTCCCCAAAGTGATTCTCACCACTGTAAACCGGGTCCAGAACAGTGGCTGGCAGCCTGGCGTCTTAAGTTACTGTTGAGGTATTGATGAATGAGGCGTACCTATTTTATACGTGTGGAATTTGAGGCAGAAAAGATTGACTGAGTAGCTTGTTCACGATCATGCCTATTTGATGCTGGATTTTTTTTTTCTTGAGACGGTTTCCTTATGTAGTTCAGGCTGGCCTGTAGCTCTTGGTGATCCTCCTGCCTCTGCCTATGGAGTGCTAGGGTTACAGGCACGCCACCATGACTGGCGACCAAGCTGGACTAATCAGCAGACTGGCTCCAGAAGTGCGTTCTTAGGCTTCTTGTGAAGTATAATACAAGATGTTGAATATCCTCCACAGCAAACCTAGTAAAGCCATGATTAAACAAACAAACAAAAAAAAAGACCGAGCGGGGGTAATTTCAACTCTACAGTTTCTGGCAAGATGTCTAAAACTAAGCTAAAAAATTCATAATTTAATAAAATTATCTAAAAGAATGAAAATTGATTTCCCCTTAGAATGAAGGGTACTTTTTAGTTTGCAGTTTATGAATAGTATCCCCAGTGTGAGAAACTACTCTCTTTGAAATATACTTGAACAAAATAAGAAAGAAAGAAATATACCTGGGCTGAGGCATCCTGTGGGTGTACATTGAAAATTGTGCAATGAAGATGATTTCAACTCAAAGAGTCAGTCTGAGATCAACTTCTCAATTACCAGGCAGAATGCGTCATCTGTACATGGTGTCTGTGGCATGTTAGCTCCACGGAGGTGTTTGAATATGACATGCTAGTCATGGTGTTAACCTGTGAATAATCTCAAGAAGAATTAGGAAATAGGATATGTCACATCAGTTTCAGCATGTCAACAGCATGTCCCAAGCTAAATCTACTCCAAACCTGTTTCTCCTTAGTGCCTGACGTGAACAACTTCCTAGTCACTCAGACTTAGAACTACAGCATCAGTTTTGAGCCTTCCTTCCCTCCTAAGGATTTCATCATCTATTACTATCATCAAAAAGTTTCAGATTTCCAAATTTGAGGTGTAATTCCAATGTGTGAGCAATGGTAATATTCATGTGAAGGGGTATGAATGCATATTTCTGTCTATACTTCAGCCAACCACTCTGTTCAAAAATGTTTAATGGTAGCCAGGAGTGATGAAGCATACCTATAATCCCAACACTCCGGAAGGCTGAGGCAGGAGGATCCGAAATTGGAGCCCAGCTGTAGCAACTTAGCAATTTAGGGAGACTCTGTCTCAAAAAAATGGCTAGAGGTATAGTTCATTTAAAAGATCTAGGGCCTTTCCAGCAGTAAGGACCTCCCCATGAGAACATGCCTCTCACAACAGATCTCCTTCATCCCTCTCCAGAGGAGAAGAAGAAGCACAAGAAGAAGTGCCTGTGCAGAGCCCCAGTTCCTATTTCATGGGCGTGCAGTGCCCAGGATGCTATAAAATCACCACGGTCTTTAGCCATGCACAGAAGGTAGTTCTGTGTGTTGGCTTCTGCACTGTCCTGTGCCAGCCTACAGGAAGGAAAGTAAGGCTTACAGAAGGATGTTTCTTCAGGAGGAAGCAGCACTAACAGTACCCTCAGTCAAGATGAGTGGGTCCCAGTAAACACATTTTGGATTAAAAAAAAAAAAAAGACCTAGGTTCAATCTCTAGTACTAGAGAAAAAGAATTTAACAATATCTTATTATTTGCTAACTAGAACCTGAAGTTCTGGGCCAGGGCAGTAGCTCAGTGGCTTAAGTGTCTGCCAAGAATCTAAAGTTCTTCAACACTGGTTCCAACTCATTTCTTTCAATGTATATAGCCTCCCTCTCCTCCCTTGCTTGGTCTTCTGACCACATGTTTCTACCCTACTCCCTGAATATTGCCAGTGTGTTCTCATCTTGGTATGTCTGATCACTTTTTTCTGTCTTTAGTACCACTTATCCCTTCATTACTGGGCTCACTTCATCCAGGGGGCCAGTTCCTCTAGAAAGCATCTAAGGATGCTTTTGGATTTCATAAAAGATTCCCAAGGAAATATCCCCTCCCCCACCTTTTTTGTACCGGGGATTGAACTGGGGAGATTGACACTTGCCAGGCAGGTACTTATACTACTGAGCTATATCCCTGGCTGGAAGTATTACTCTATAATGATGCTAAAATATACTTTATTTTACAGGTAGGCTTTTCTTAGCCTTCCTTTTTAGGGATTGGGCACACTGGTTATTCTGTATGATTCCTCACAGAAAAACCTTTGTTAATATAAATCATAAAATATTGGTGGACATAGTTACAGTTAGAATGATGAACATTTGACTTAGGAACTTACAACATAATGGGAAGCTGAAGTTTATGAATTGTGAGGAAGTCCCGGGCTCGTTTTCTAGAATATTGTTTCCTTATTCACTTCTGTCTACTGATTTGGTCTTAATTCACCTTCCTCATCAAAATATTCTAGCTTATTTTACAGGTCAGTCATTATGTTTGCCTAGGAGGGTACTGACACAATGGCCAGTGTTTCTAACGACCCTTTGACGTCTGTCCGTCTGCCCGTCTATCCATCGGTCTATCTGCCTGACTCGGGAGGATCGCTTGTGTGTCTGGCCAGCTGGCCCTACAAAGTGAGTTCCAGGCAGCCTGAACTGCATAGTGAGCCCCAAATCAAAACAAAGCAAAGCAAAAAAACAAAAACAAAAACAAAAAACAAAACAAAACAAAAAAACAAACCCAGGAACTACACTAAGCTATGCCTGTAGTCCCATATCTCAAACTTAAAATATTTACTTTACCAGATGATTTAAAGCTTATTAAGTTTAAGTGTACTTAAAAATTTTAAGATGTTTGTGTATCACAGCTGTCAAATATAATCACGCAGTGGAATTTAAGAAGCTAGGACCTAAAGGAGGTACTGGCAGCTGGAAGCTGTTCCCAGATGGTCAGTAAAACGGTGCATGAGGCCAGTGGCCAGAAAGAAAGCAATGGGCGAAACCATCCTCCCGGGCCTGCGTTGCCTGGGAAACCAAAGAGAAGTTAGTGATCATTTGTACTAGTGCCCCACTCCACCCCGCTCGCTCTGGTCTTCCAAATCTAGTGAAGAATAAAAGAAGAGGAGAAAAAAGGAAAGGGAGGATTGCTGTTCGAGAGCAAGGAGAGAGGGACCGCGCTGGGGGCTGGAAGTGGGCGTTAGGTGAGCTGGCACGTGGGGGGGGGGAGGGATTCTGCGCAAGCCGTCCAGCGTCCAGCGTCTTCTGTTTCCCAGGTAACCCTGTAAACACTAGGCGTCCATCCCTGTGAGTTCCGCTGCTACGGGCGGCTGGCAGGTGGTCTGCTTAGGGATGTGCTCTTTCCTAAGAGTGCGGTCTCCCATGGGGATGAAAACTTCCCTAGAGCCAAGTACAGCTCTCCCGTTGACGATGAACACCTTTGGAAGAACGAAAGTATCTGAGGGGAAATTTCCCCTGAGCATGGAACTCGGAAAGGTTGATTCAGAAGACCAGAGGATCTTTATGGGAACAAAATCTCCTGCGCAGTTAGGATTTGAAAAAGGGTTCAGACAAGAGGATTCCCAATGGAGGGAGAGCCCTGTAGTTAGCAATAAGTATAAGGAAAGCATAGCATTACCAGGAACACAATCTCCTTGTGGCAAGGAGCTTGAAAGGGGATTGGAAAAACAAAATGTTTGTAGGACCTTCGGGGAGAGGGGCAATGTAGGGTTCAACAGGGTCTCACCCTTACAGGAAACAAAGCCCCTGGGTGAGCTCTCAGGGAGCCGGGTGGGGTTAGAGAATGGGTGTTGTCTGGCGCAGGGTCCCTACGTAAGGGGAGCACAGCCTCCCTTGGGCGCAGTGTGTGGATGTCCACAGGTTGTAGGCAACAGAAAAGGGGCTATGGCTTATGGTCTTGACGGACTAGAGCCTTTGGTGGGAAAGCAGCCTCCTTTGGGCTTAGAAGGGCGACAGGAACTGGAGAAAGAATCCACCTGTGTTGTGGTGAAACCCGGCACAGAGATGACTCCCCCCGTGGAGGTGGACATTGGCCTTCCCCGAGTTGAGGGGTCACATGAAGCTGAGATTGTAGAGCCCCAGATGGGTTTGGTGATCGAGCCTTCCGAGTGCCAGTTTGCACAGCAGCCTGAAGAGGCTGGAACTGTCCTGCCAGGTGTGGAATCTCCAGACTGCATCAGACCCATATACTCTGGGAGATTCATTGATCGGATGCCTTGCTGGCCAACTGTAAGTTTTTCTCCCTGTACGTTTTCTATGAACTATGTATAGCTGAGCCCTTATTGAAATGGTGAAGTGTCAAGACTTGTTTGGGTTTGTGGATTTCACAGAATTCTAATAGTCTGGCCCGCTGAGCCCTGCAGGTGTTACTTTATCCTATGGCCTTTTGTTTTCCACCTTGCTTCCTAGATGTGACCCTGTGGTTTCTGTGCCCAGCAGTGATCCCTCCTGGCATCCTCCTTTTCTTCCTGGACTTTTGTTTCATTTTTTCTTCACTCTTTCACCCTCTTGTGAGCTCGTATTTATGTTGTACCCTAGTGTTTATATTATGAATGGAAAAGTCCTTTTCTTTCCCCATGTGGATGTTACTCTGAGTTATTTGTTCCTTTCAGTAAAGCCTTATAGAAGTCACTGTGCTGGGAACAGGATAATGCAAAATGAAAACTATATGGTATCTGCCTCTTCAGCTTAGGCTCACTCTGGAGCTGGTGACAGATACCTGGGTGAATCTTATCTAGGTGTCTAAGTGACTACAAATACGATTCTTCCTTCAAAGAGATGCATTTTTGCCAGGTGTGGAGATTATAACTGCTAAATAGGGTTGGGTAGATTATACGTTCAAACCCAGCCTGGGTAACTTCAGGAGACCTTGTCTAAAAAAAAAAAAAAAAAAAAACCAGTATGGCTGTAGCTCAGGGGTAGTGCACCCCCCTTTCAGACTCCAGTATGTTTGCTTGCTCTCTTTCTTCCTTCCTTCCTTCCTTCCTTCCTTCCTTCCTTCCTTCCTTCCTTTCTCTCTCTCTCTGTCTCTCTCTCTCTCTCTGTCTCTGTCTCTGTCTCTCTGTCTCTCTCTTTCTCTCTCTTTTGTGGTATGGGGCATAAAACTCAGGATCTTGGTCTTGCCAGGCAGGCACTTATGCCCCAGCCCTATCCCCACTATTAAAGGGAAAACAGTCTTAACCACAAAGCTCAGTGGAAATATTGAAATAAAAAAAATAATGTTTGGGTTAATAACATCAAAAGGTCACATTGTCTGGAGATGTAGCTCAGTGGTGTATCACCTGCTTAGCATGCAAAACTCTGGGTTCCATCCCTAATAGCCACAAAAAGAAAAAAAAGGGGAGGCATTTTGGGCAAAGAAAGATACTGAGGATGACCAAAGCTACTTGTGTTTAGGAGATAAAAATAATTCTATTTAGGCAACATGGTGTTGAGAGATAAAGGAGAAATCTAAAGTTTTAGGGTACAAGGGTGAACTATATGGGTACAAGATCAAAAGTGGATTTTTTTTTTTTTTTTGGTCTTGAGACAGGATTTCACTATAAAGTCCAGGCTGGCCTTAAACTCACTATACAGCCCAGGCTTGCCTCATCCACCTGTATGTAAGGGGAACTTTTTCAAGTACAAAATTGTACATATTTATTGTTTACTGTCACAATACTTATAATCACAATGCTTTCCATATGGTAGTCATTTAGCAAATGCATTTTTCATAGTTTTAGAAAGGATGATTAAATGGGAAGAACAGAGAAGAGGCAGATCTGACAGCATGATACTGAGGAACATAAAGAAAGCATATTTGAGGCTTTCAGGAATAAAAAGCTCCACCATCTGAAATTTGAGACTAAAAGTGTTAATGAGGTCACAGGGCTTCTGCAGAACTTTGTCGGTGGACGGACTTTTGTCCCTCTTGGGAGTCAGGGTGTTTTGTGTTTGACCCACTTTGCTTTCTGGATCCCTCACTGGATTTCCCCAGCCACGGCTTTTTTACTTGGTGCTTTCTGTTTCTGAATTGGTTCTGCAGTTTACCCCTTTTAATCTGATCTCCCACACACAGACCCAGCTTCTGGTTTCCAAAGCAGGTACCTAGTTCTAAAACTTCTGCTTCCTCCTACTTCACACATCCGTCTTACTAAGAAGTCTGGGAGGGAGAAGAGAGTGTCTTGTTGAAATTTCTTTGATAGGGAAAATAGGATAACAATTAACTTTGAATATGAGGGAAATTAGCATTGTTAGAGTGATAATAGTTGTCAAAAGCTTAACTCAAGATAGGCAACCCTGCATCCTCCTGGGTGTACTCTTATCTTGCTTTGATCTCTTCTCTAGGCCCAAGCTTGTTCTGCAGGGGCAGTTTCTCCTCACTTTTCACTTTTCCTTTTTCAAATAAACTTTGCCACTGCTTTTCCCTTAAAAAAAAATTCTATAAGAGAGGGAAAACTCAGATTACAGTATACTAAGGAGTAAATCAGATTAGAATTGGAGAAAGCTTTAAGATGTGTTATATAACTACGAGTGCCCTATGATGAATCAATTTCTATAGCAAACATGTACAAATAAAAATAAAAATTAAAAAAAAAAAAGTGGAAGAAGCCCAGTGTGATGGTATGTGCCCTGTAATCCCAGCACTTAGGAGGTTGCCTTGAGCTCAAGGTCAGACTTGAGTACACATTGAGACTCTGTCTCAAAAAACAAAGGAACGTCAGGATCTTGCCAAGTCATTACATTTCCCAGGCTGTGCAAGGATGGCAAGGATTTCCCACAATGGCAAACTTGCCATCTTTCTGCCTCAGCCTCCCAGAGCGCTGGAATTATAGGCATGTCCCACCATACAGCTTATTTTTTATTTTGAGACAGCTGTCACACTCAGCTGGTATAGATCTTTTTCTAGTTCTTGTCACTAAATTTCCTAAAAGTTTTTTTTTTTCTAGTAAGTTTTAAAAATTGAAAATTATTTGTTAGGCATTGTAGGAATTCACTTTTATCTTATTTTGTATTTTAGTACAGGGTCTACAGGGTCTCACTACATAGATTGGACTCTAGTGATCCACCTATGTTCACCTCCCAAGAGCTGGGATTACACGCATGTGCCACCACGCCCACTCTCAATTGCAATCTGGGGGGGTGCCCTGGGGGCAGGGCTGGCACTGCAGGCTGGGGTTCGCTGCATCTGCTTAAGCAGGCACTTTAATCGGTTGAGCTATTTGGCGGGCCTGGAATTCACATTTATTTGATTTATGATTTGATTGGAAATTGTTCCATATATTTGTTTTCCATATATTTGTATTTGTTGTCCCTATACCTGGTCACCTTACTGAACTCTGATTAGTCATAACTGTTTAGCATCATTTCTGTTGGATTTTTCTAGAAAGTCATCAGATTAATATTTTTGTGCAGGTGTGATTAAAAAATATGGTGAATGTTACAGTTTTTTCTTTTTTTCTTTTTGAGACAGGGTGTCACTATGCAGTTCGGACTGCCTTTTAGCTCACTTTGTAGCCCAGGCTAAACTCAAACTCCCAAGGATCCTCCTGCTTCAACCTCCAGAGTGCTGGGATTACAGGCATGAGCTACCATGCCCAGCTAATTACAATATTTTTCTTTTCTAAAAAAATCTTTTATTTATTTATTTATGTGGTACAGGGTCTCACTATGCAGCTCTGACTCTTGTGATCTTCCTATCTCAGCCTCCCCAGTGCTGGGATTACAGGCATGTGCCACCATGCCTGGTCACAGTGGCTGTGGAGAAGTCCAGGGCCGGCACAAGGCCCCATGTGGAGTCTGTATTCTATAAGGCAGCACAGCGGCTGTGGGGCTATGAGTCTTCAGCAGCTGAAAATAGTTTTGTGTCAGCCTTCTTGAGCTGAAAGTGAAATAAGTAGTTGGCCATTAAAAACTGTAACATTGGGGGATAACAAGGAGGTAGCCAGCAAAATGGCAGTTCAGTGCTCAGAGCCCAAGAAAGGGGGTGGCAGTGCAGGTGGGAGTCGGGCTGCAAACTGAGGACCTGAACAGGTAAGTTAATATTTTTAGGGCAATAGGAGCCAGATTTCTCACTGATGGTGAGAAGAGATATAAATGTGGAAAGAATAAAATGTATCCCACTGTGTTGGAATTTTTTTTTTGTGTGTGTGTGTGGGTGTGTGGGTGTGGGTGTGGGTGTGGGTGTGGCTGGCTCAGCCCATCCTAGGGGCAGGGCTAGGGTGGCTTATGGTGCCCTATCGAATCAAATCTCGGTCCCTGTGCTTGCCTAAGCTTGCCTCTGCAGGTGCTTTAGATCACTGAGTTATCTCGCTGGATTGTATTTTGAGGTATTGGGGAAACTCATAGTATAGCTATACCTATGTTTATGTTTATGGACTGTGCATGTATATGTGTGTGTGAGTGTGTGTGTTTGTATGTAGTTCATCCTGGCCCTCAACTCACTGTGTCGCCTGGCTGGCCTTGAACTCTTGGGGATTCTCTTGACTCAGTTCCCAGAGTGCTAGAATTACAGGTGTGTGCCACCATGCCTGGAATTAAAAGACATGTCAAGGTCAAGAAAGATAAGGACATGGGACTGGGGAGATGGCTCAGTAGAATAAGCACTTGCTTGGCAAGTGCAAGGGCCTGAGTTCAATCCCCGGTTC